CTGCCCTCCCCACTCTGCCCCCGCCCCCCCAGGTGCCCGGCATGAAGGAGATCCTGCTGATGGGCTTCTACCAGCCCCACGAGGCCCTCAGCCGCTTCCTGGTGTCAGCACAGCAGGAGTTCAAGATCCCCATCAGGTGGGCAGGAGCCTTCCCGGGGTACCCATGGTGGCACAGCCCGGCTCGGCCCCTCCCCCGCCTCCCTGGCAGCCCCCAGCCAGCGCCCGGACATTGGGCAAGCGGGCAGTGGCCCGGTGTGGGTGGGCACAGCTGGCCTCCCTTGTTAGTTCTGCCAAATCTCCCTCGTCCTGGGCTCTGCCCTGGCGGGTTCCTGCTCCAAAGCTGCCTCTCCAGCACAGGTCCAAGCTGCCGCTGCCTCCTTCCCATGGCCAAGGTCCACGTGAGCCCAGTCGTTGCATGGCAGGATTATGTCCATCCAGCCCTTCCCTGCCTCGCTGCTGGGCTGTGCCACCTGACCCCCACTTCCCTAAGCCCTCGCTTTTCCCTGCTTGGCTCGCAGGTATCTCCAGGAGTACGCGGCGCTGGGCACGGGTGGTGGCATCTATCACTTCCGAGACCAGATCCTGTCGGGTGGTGCTGAGGCCTTCTTTGTCCTCAACGCGGATGTGTGCTCAGAGTTCCCCTTGCAGGAGATGCTGGAGTTCCGGCAGCAGCACGGGGATGCGCACAGCTTTGTCATTCTGGGTACCACAGTGAGTGGCAGTGCTGGGGAGCAGAGGAGCAGCAGTTCTCTGCTGTGGGCTTGTCTAGAAGCTAGTGGCTCCTGCAGTAGATGGGTCCCTGGGTGTGAGCTCCAGGTCTCATCTGCTCTGCGTCTGCATGCCCACTACTCCACCACTGTTGACATGTCCTTGCCCCACAGGCCAACAGGACGCAGGCGCTGAATTACGGCTGTATTGTGGCAAACACGGACACGCAGGAGGTACCGGAGGGCCTCGGGGAGCCACGCACAGCCTGGGCAGTGGGTGCTGCGCTGTCCCCGTGGGCATGTGTTCCTGGTGTGCCAGAGCGGGTGTGATGCCAGGCACAGGGGCTGCCTCCTGAGACTCATGTCTCTTCCCTCCCCTCCAGGTCCAGCACTACGTGGAGAAGCCCAGCACGTTTGTCAGTGAGATCATTAACTGTGGCATCTACCTGTTCACACCTGCCATCTTCCAGCACATTGGCGAGGTCTTCCAGAGGAACCAGCAGGAGCTAATGCTGTGAGTGCCCCTCTCTGCCCCATGTCCCTCCCACCCTACTGCTTCCCAGGGCTGCAGCAGCACGCTCATCTTCCATTCTTTGTCTATCTTCTCTCCTCCTCTGCCATCACTCACTTGTTTCCTGGTCCTGCACCAGCTGTCCTTACCTTGGGTAAGTCTCCCTTTGTGTCCGCACTGGCTGCTCTCTGGGCTGGATCGTCCTTAGCAATAACGCATGCTTTCCTCCCTGCTCTAGGCTGCTCTGCAAGGCTTTGCTCGCTCTGCTCCCTTTCTGGCCAGCTTGAGACTCCCTCTCTCACATCCTCTCTTCCCACCCCATCCTCATCCAGCTCCGGACAAGGGGCTGAGCGAGCCTTTCACCTGGGAACGCTCTGCTCCTGCCTCCAGCTCTCTACACCAGCCAGACTGTCACCTGGCATCTCTGCCACCACCCAAGCAAAAACCCAGCTGCGCAGGGCTCTGGAGCAGGGGCAGGATCCATCGTGTACACCTGCCTGGACTGGGTGGGGCTCTTGCACCATCACCTGTCTGAGAGCTTGTTTCAGCTGGCAGAGCCCCCTCCCTCTGCTGCTCTGGGGCTCAGCCTGACAGCTGGGGCTGTCCCCACCTTTGGGGAGAAATGCATGGCTAGGAAGGAGTCCAGGGTCACTGGAGCCCCCAGATTTGGGGAGGGTAGCTGCTGGGGTCACTGGCTGAGACTGTGACTGGGGTGGGTGTCTAATGGGCATCTCACTTGCAGAGAGGAGAGCTCCAATGGCTGGCAGCGTGCAGAAGTGATCCGGCTAGAGCAGGATGTTTTCACGGCGTTGGCTGGGAGCGGCAAACTCTACGTCTACAAAACCGATGGCTTCTGGAGCCAGATCAAATCAGCTGGGTAAGTGCTGGAGCTAGAGCTGGCACAGCAGGAGCATCGGGCAGTCCGTACTAGAGCTGGGAGAGGAGGGTACCCAAGCAGAGCCTTGGAGGCGGGTGGGGATTGCTGAATTCAGACCTTCCTCTAGCCTGATAGTGCCAGAGGCGTAATAATCGTTTGCTTTTCCTCCCCCAGCTCTGCTATCTATGCTAGCCGCCTTTACCTGAACCAGTATAGCAAAAGCCACCCAGAGAGGCTGGCCCAGAACAAGCCTGGAGGCCCAATCATCCGAGGTACTCCTCCAACACCCTCTGCTGCTTTGGGGGCTGCCTGGGGAGGCAGTGGGACCTGCAGGCAGGACCTCCCCTGCTCTGAGAGGCAGGTGCTCCTGCGAGCTGCCTCCCCTGACGCAGCTGCCTTGTTTTGCAGGGAACGTGTACATCCACCCAACGGCCTCCATTGATAGCACTGCGGTGGTGAGTGCATGCCTGGGGGGCCCTGCAGCAGGGTGGTGCTTGGGGTGGGGTTGTTGTCCTCAATCTCATCACCTCCCTCTGTCCTCACAGCTGGGCCCCAACGTCTCCATTGGGGAGGGGGTGACAGTGGGAGCTGGTGTGCGTGTGCGTGAGTCCATCGTCCTGCACGGCGCCTCACTCCATGTAAGTAGGGTTTGCCCCAGGGTGTGGGTGTCAGCCCCTACCCCTTGCAGGGAGGCAGCAGCGCCCTTCATCCCCTTTTCTGCTTCACCCCAGGACCACACCTGTGTTCTCAATACCATTGTGGGCTGGGACAGCACCATTGGGCGCTGGGCCCGGGTTGAAGGAACACCCAGTGACCCCAACCCCAATGATCCCTATGCCAAGATTGACAGCGAGACCCTCTTCCGGGATGGGCGCCTCACACCATCCATCACAATCCTAGGTACATCCCACCCACACCCAGCCCCCCCCCAGCCCTATGCAGTGGGGCAGAGCCTCTCCCCTCTTGCTAACCCCCTCATGTTCTCCCCGCAGGCTGCAGTGTCACCATCCCTGCTGAGGTGGTTATTCTCAACTCCATTGTCCTTCCTCACAAGGAGCTGAGCCGCAGCTACAAGAACCAGATTATCCTGTGAGTCAGCTGCTTGCTGGGTTGGGGGGGGCCCAGTGCCAGCCCCCCACTCCCTGCTGTGCCCCACAGTAAGAGCCTGTGCTGGGACTTTATGTCCTGGGAGGTTCCCAGCACCCCCAGAGGGGTAGGTGCAGGTCAGGAGCCCTGCAAGTGCCTGATTCCTACTCCAGACAGACATTAAAGCCAGTGAGCATCAGCTTCGTGTGCTGCTTCTCTTGCAGCCCAGGGACCAGCCCTGGGGCAGGGTGAAGGCTTCAGGGACAGCACGTGGCCCTGGCACCAGGCTGCATGTGTCTGCAGAGAGCCCTGGGCTGAGGCTGTTGAAGGAGCACTTGCTGCCTGCAGCGTCTCAGGTCCTGAGCTGTGGGCGTTTCTCCACCCAAGGGCACCACCAGCACAGTCTTGTTATCCCTCACCAGGCTCTCCCCGCAGCAGTTGCTGTCTGCAACTCCCTGGAAGGTCTTGGCCCCTCTCAGAGTCTGGGGAGCTTTGAATGTGCCTGTCCTGTGTAGGCAGCTCACCCTGCAGGAGCTGGCTGTGAGGATCCTAATTTCAGCAGCATGATTGCAACAGCCTGAGCTGGGAAGACAGCAGCACCAGGCTGGCCTAAGGCACTGGCATGCAAAGCCTGGGTTGGACAAGCACGCTGCTGGCCATGGAGGGAGCTGCCAAGAGCACCCCCTCCCCCAGTACCACCTCCACTCCCCAGGGCTCCATATGGGCCAGGAGAGCTGCCAGCCCTGCCGAGCTTGCTCCTGTCAGGCTGAGGCCTGCGCAGGCTGCCTAGGCAGGGCTCAGGGGGATGGCAGCAGGCCCCTGCCGCCCCGGTGGGCCAACAGCCTCTGCACCAGCATGGGCGTAGCTTGGGGGGCTTGCTGCATGTCTCCCCTCGCACCAGCCACGTCCACAGGGCACCAGAGCAATCAAACTTACACATGGGCAGGTGGCAGAGACCTACCGCCTTGCTCTGTCTCAAAAAAACCTGTTTTTATTGAAGGCAGCTCCCTGCTGGTCCTGGCACAGTCTGTCTGCAGTAATCAACACTGCATTTATCCACTTAGCTCCCTGTCTTTGGTTCTGGAGTTCTGTGCTAAAGCCCTGCGCTCTGCTGAGGGCCCCATCACACCCCTTGCCTTCAGTGAGGCACTGCATTAGGGATTCTCCATCCATCCAGTACCACCCCAGCTCAATGGATTTGCAGTAAATCCTTGCTCCCAGCCCTGTGCCTTCCCATGCCAGTTCTCCCATAGTCCTGGGTGGAGGATTAGCTGTTCCCTGGCTTTAAGCACATTAAACTCCTTCAGTTTTGCCTCTGCCTTGGATGTGCTAATTTCCTTGCCCACTGGTGAACACCCCTGCGCTGGGGGAAACTGAGCCAAAAGTACTTACTTTTAGGATCGTACATGAATTTTCTACTGTGTCCTACATCTGGCCTGGCTTTCAGTAGTGACAAAGGTTGTTCAGCTGCTGGATGTGGCCCTAGGGCAGTTCTCAGCCCAGTTGTGTAATGCCCCTTTTCTTTAAGCTCCCCCTGGAGTGGCTGTTCCTTGTGCAGAGTGATCTGGGGGACAAGTTCTTCCTGGGCCCTTGCCCCATTACAGCCTCATCCAGCTTCCCCTTCTTGGGGAGGAGAGCACAGTTGCAACCCAGCCCTGCTTGGGCTTTGCAGCTCCAGTGCCGGGGCTGGAGGGGAAGAAGGAGTTAAAGAGGCCTCCGCTGAGGTGCCAGGAAGTCTGGAAACGCTTTAAGATTGTCCTGCCCTGAGCAGCAGCAGCTCTGATTACTTGAGGCCAACATCTGGGCTCAAGAAGGGGCCTCCCACATCCTGGGCTCCAGGGCAGGGAGAGGAGGGCTTCAACTAGGGCAGGAGGGGGCTCTGCCTGCCCTCCCACCCAGTAAAAGCAGGGGTTTTGGGGAGCACTGCTCACCCTTGCTGCCCAGCCAGGCTCCATCATACCAGTGAGCCCCAAACTCTGTGAGCGCAAAGGAGGGACAGACGCCAGCCACAGCCAGGCTTGTTTTGCTGCAAAAATTTAATACAAATCAGGTCCTAAGTACAGCACTGGGGCAGCGTCCCCACCACCGTGGCTGGGCAGAGCCAGCCCTGGGATCCCAATCCCTGGGGAGGCAGAGCAGGGCTTGGAGCTGGGCACCACCAGCCCACAGGCAGCTGCCTGGTCCTGCAGGCTTCACTCCTCTGGTGCCAGCTCCGTGCCCCCAGGGAGCCACTGCTGTCTGCTACACAGGAGAAGGGAAGAACCGTCCCACCTTCCTCGGGGCCGGTCCCTGCCTGCGTGGGGAGAGATGAGTCAGGGGTGCAAAGTAAGCTCCCTTGGGCCCCCCCCCCACCCCCAGCAGCACTCACAGGGGCCGGGCAGCCGTGCCCACGCAGCTCCGCAGGGTGCTGGGGAGGCAGCAGGTGCCGGCTGGGCTGAGCTGGCCTGGTTTGGGCTCCGGGGAGGTGATGGGGTGGAAGAACAGCTCTGCAGGACAGATGGGAGGGACAGCTATTGCACCCCAGCCCAGCTGCAGGCAACCCAGGACCCTTCAGCAGCCACAGGGCAAGGGCAGGGAGGGGCCCGGGACTCCTGTGCCTCACCGCGTTCACCCCCCAGTGCTGGCGTTGGCACCAGGTTCTGCTCCTTCCCCACGAAGCCTCTCCAGAAGTCAGGTGGCAGTGAGAGGAGCCGAGCCACCACCTGGGTAGGGAGGGATAGAAGATGGGGATGCTGGCAGCGCCCAGGGTACATCCTGTGCCTCAGGCATCCCCTCACCTTGCACTGCCGTGGTGTGTCCTCCATGATGGCAAGGGGTGTGGGTTTTTGCCCCGCCAGTTTGGGACCAAACACACGGGACAGGTTGAGCACATCCATCTTGCAGTCGGGGCTGTGTGACACCCTGCGAGGGGGGATGGACAGTGTGAGCATGCTGCCCAGCCAAGGCACTCCTCAAGAGGCATGCTCCAAGGGGCATGGAGGGGGGGGGGGGGGGGGGGGGGC